AATTCGAAGGTATGAAGTGTAATCGCTCATTACCGCAGTAGTCTCCTGTGAGGGATGAGGTAGTTGTAGCCCCTTGCCCCCCCCCCTCCCTAGAAAATATGGGGGGGGATGCTAGTTTAGTTCTATAATGATTGATAGTAAATGCAGAATACGTATTTTTATTTACCTATTAATTCGTTTGATCGTCCGTGAAAGAAATTACCTTAAACTAAAGGTAAATCTGTAAATCAAGATAGAAGCGTGTTCTGTAATAATTTTGGCGAAATGAAAAAAAAAGCAAACCGAAAACGCCCACAGTAAGTGTCGAATTCGACGAACACCACACCAGTTACTTCCAACTCCTGAATGCAACTATTCGGGCTCTGTGGATGTCCGGATTGCATACGCACTCAAGTGAAGGCGTTTTGACTATCCAAGTACTAACCGCTTCATTCGCGGCGCGGCGCACGTGAATTGAGTCCATCAGAGGTCGGGCATGAAATTCTTAACCAAAACTGCAAATTTTGATGTTCATTTAGTCACATTTTGAATTACAAGGGGTGTTTACTGGAAGAAAATTTCACGAGAAAAGTAAAACCAACGAAACTACTTTTAGAACCGCAAAGTTGTGCATAAAAGAAGTTAAAAGCTTTTTAAGTCTCCAAATTTTGTCTGACCGCTCCTACTGACTCTGTCCACTGTGCGACGTCATCGATGGGCTGAGGCCCGCGTCATTTTGAACAGAACGCTTTTAATTCATTAATTTACTACAATAGGTATTTTCTAGGATCTATGTAGACAAGGTGACAAGTTCTTGACAAGAGAACTTGAAAGAGCCGTAAAGTTTTGGCCAACCTGAGGAAATCAGGAGAAAGTCAAGGGACTTTCGCCGCGGACCTTGGCACTCATTCCTCCGATCGAAATTTCTACGGGTTTCTTCTCTCTTCTACCTTTCTACGGCACTCGCGCGTTTTGTTCACGAGAATTAGAGCTTTCTGCCTTCGAGTCTCGAAATTTGGATTTTTTTTCAATTTCATGAGACCACCTGCTTAAAATTTCGTACGAAGCATCATCCTAAGAAATTACGTCAAAAAGACTGGAACTCATACATAGTTCGCCCCATGGTCGCTTTAACTCTTAAGGGCGCTCCCCCCCCCCCCCGCAGGGCGGTAGGTCCGCTTTGCGGTTTCCGCGAGGTAGTCTCTACATGAGCCGTGAGCCCCTCGCCCGCTCTATTCGAATTATCCCGTATCCGTAACTGCAAGAAAACAGGAAAATCTACCTGGTAGATCGGCAGAACGAACTGTAACAAAAATGAAACCTTCCATTTTTTTAATGAGAGAATTCATAACTTTACCATGTAATGTGAAAGAATTACCTATGCCATATTATCAAAATATGATAAGAGCGGGCTCATCTGAACCGATTATTTTCCTAATCACGTAAGCAGCAATCTCTATTTTGGCGTTGGAGGGGTTGTTTTTCCTTCGTTCTCTCTGGTATAATCAATCATTTCTGATTTCAAAATAGCCGAAAGGAACAAACATTTTTTGGGATTCGAAGATAGGCAAAAAAGTGAATACAACGGGTTTTCTGTTTTGCTCGCATTTGCAATTTTGGCGCTTAAGTGATTGGGAAATATCGGTTCATTTAAAATAATCATTCGTCGATAGTCTCCAAAATAGTGGAAATCGGCTCGACAACACACAACACGGTGAAACGACGAACCGTGTCAAAAAAAAACGAGAAAGTAAAAATGAGGCAGAAGGTTGGAGAGCGGCGCGCGACGGTGGGTTATCGTTGTCACGGATTGGTTGAAAGACTACCAATTACAAGACTGCAAAACAGCCGCGAGCGCAAGGCGGAGCTTACTTGTTTGAAAGAATGGCGGGTAATTCAATTTGACGGGACTTACACTACACTAGAGGCGCGCAGCCGGCTGCGAGCCCGCTAACTCATCTTTCGTCTCTGCAGTGGCGATTGTGGTAGATAATTTACTACTTTGCAATATGAGTTCCCACCGAAATTTTTCCCCCAAGAACACTCAGCAGTCTTACCTGGTGCCGATAGGTCCCGAAAAATTGTAGATTCGTGATAAAGTGCGTAATAGGTCCCGAAAAATTGTAGATTCGTGATAAAGTGCGTAATTTTGGTAGCCCGTCTGGAAATCTCACTCTCAATCATAAAATCCTTGAAAAATAATGCTGGACAAGGAGAAAGATAATTGGACTACTTTTGCAATCGGGAACTATAATTTCTGGATCAGTTCAGAAACAACGTATCTACCATTTGTTTCCCTGTGCACGTAAGTGTTTTTACAGATTGATGAGCCGAAAATTGTAGTTCCGAATCGCAGAATGTAGTCCAATTCATGCAATGAGTTTTCCTCTAAAATCTTGGTCTCATTAAGTTTCAACTGTCATGTCAGAGTTTTTATATTATACTTGTACATTAACTGGCATAATAAATGTAAGTTGCGGATTGCATATTCAGCCTCTGAAAATTCCACGCAACATCATAATTAAACCAAACATAATTATTAGTAAAAAGTTTCAAGTAAAATTTCCATTTATATTACTGGAAATAGTTAATTTGACCCATGCTGTGTCAATTGGAAGGTATGCATCAGTATTGATTCAGCTATACAAAACCTCATATCTGACCACTTAAGCGTTAGCAGTTCTGAGGACTTGAAAAAATTAGTCTTACTGTGCCTGCCTGTCTTGCTCCCGCAAGTATTTCTAATGGACTCCTGTCTGTTCTGTTGCAGTCTAATAGGTTTCAGTTCACAATGCCTCATCAAGAAAGTGCATTTGACTCAAGTTTCTTCTTGGACTCACCGCCTGCAATGAGAAACTCCAGCTTCAGTTCAAGCGGCCCTGGAACTCCGTGTACTCCTTGCACGCCTGGAACACCACCGATTGGCGGGTACAGCGATCCCTTCTCCAGGTCCATGGCTCAACATCAGGCTCAGGGACGCGCAATTAGAGGCTCACCTCCATACAGGTAATTTCAGGAACTAGTTTCTTCCTCTCAGAGTTAAAAGTTGTCCAAAAAATCCATTTGAGTTTTCTTAGAAATCTATTGCATCGACAGGATGATAAAGTTTTGAAGAGTCAAGTATTATAATAAGGTGGTGAAAGACTATATAACCATTGAATTGTGTCTTATTTTAGGATTTTTCATTCAATTATTAATTCGAAGGTTCTCGATGAAACCTGTTGTCATCAGGTATAACCTGAGACAGTAAGTTATTATCAACAGGGTGTCTAACATCAGGATTTAATCCCAATTTCACCAGGATTTGAGGAAAAATTGGTCGTAAAATCAGGATTTAAGGAAAGTTGGCTGTGCGATTGGAATTTTTTATTGAGCTATTTTTGTGGAATTATATTCGTCTTGTGTGAAGTCAGGACTTCATCAGTATTTGGAAAAATTATGAAATCAGGATTTAGCAGTCCAAAATCAAGATTTCTCGAAATGGAAAAAAACAATACACTCCTAATTCGACCATGGACATTAAGGGAAGAATCGGGAAATTCTGCTGGCTAATCTTGATTTCAATTTCCTTGTCCAGTCAAAAATTTAAGAATGGCTCTGATTGCACCTATGTTTTGAATCCTCTTAGCTCAAAGAAATAATTTTTAATTCCCAACATCCCTGAAAAAAAGAAGGTGAGCAAGCAATTTCAGAATCCTCAATGCTTTATTACCTACCCTGAATGTTTGTTTTGAATCCTCCTTCGTTTGAATCTTATAAAATTTTGATTTTCGTCTGATTTTAGAATGGATTGCGGCAGCCCAGTTATTGACCAGGCCCCTCTTTTAAGCACTAGATCACTTTCACCAGCTGACTCTGATGGAAGCAGTTCAAACTTTGACTCTATGTCTGACCTCATGGTAGGTGAATTCATAGACTTTCATTGCTTTATTGCCATTGATCACTCATGTCAGCTACAAATTCCCCACAAGACATTTTATTGCCATTTAACACTCATGTCTACAACAAATTCCCCACTAGATATTTTTTTGCCATTGATCAATATGTCTGCCACGAATTCCCCACCTGACTTTTTTTTATCCTTTTGTCTATTCCTACCCGTACCCCTTTTTTAGTTCTCTGAAGGAAAATTTTAAAAAATCCCAAGATGTTTGAACTGGATTAACCCTGCAATCGTATTGATACTGGAGAGTTTTGCACTTGTGGTGTGATTGCATGATACATGGTATCAATAATGAAATCACACGGGATGCATAACCAGCTGAACTTGGCCTAGACACTGACAGGATCAAGACCTGGAAGAAACTTGAAAGTATTCACAGTGAGCGACTTGCCTCGAGTCATAATGGAGTGATAAAATCTATTATGACATCAGTTAGTAACAACAGAGCATGAAAAAGTTCATTGCAAGAAAAAAATTTCGAATATTGGAATGAATTTAGTATGACAAAGCTGAGTAATGAGATTAAGTGTTACAATTAAGATGCAATAATGCTAAGAGATTTAGGGAGGTAAAAAGGTTGATGCAAGCTAAAATGGATGAAGTGAAAGAATTCTATGTACATCTTAAATCAAGTTCCTGAGAAGAAGAAAAAAGTATGATTTCAAACTGCACAAAATATGAAAATTCATTAAAAGATTTACAGACAATTAAGGTGAATAGAGGAAAGGCACGAACATCATAATAAGATAATGAGTGCTAATTTTATGTTTCGAAACCCAAGTGTGAAGTTTTAGAACTTGAATAGATAGAGAAGTCTACTGCTTTTCTGTTAAATATGGCCGAAAATAAGACTTAAATGTTTTGAAAGATAGTAGAAAACTTTTTATTCTANCCCAATCACTGATAACTGATAAGTCGTGAATGTAGAATCGGTGCGAGAGCTATTATTCTGTGGCCACCATAGCGGTGCACTAAAGTGTATGGCGGGTTACGGAAAACTATTTTTCGCAGGAATAACGATCCCGCTTGTACATCTTAAATCAAGTTCCTGAGAAGAAGAAAAAAGTATGATTTCAAACCGCACAAAATATGAAAATTCATTAAAAGATTTACAGACAATTAAGGTGAATAGAGGAAAGGCACGAACATCATAATAAGATAATGAGTGCTAATTTTATGTTTCGAAACCCAAGTGTGAAGTTTTAGAACTTGAATAGATAGAGAAGTCTACTGCTTTTCTGTTAAATATGGCCGAAAATAAGACTTAAATGTTTTGAAAGATAGTAGAAAACTTTTTATTCTATTTATCTTTATCTACCGACAAAGCTTTAAATGTAATTATTATGTCTAACATGGTGTAAAATGGCTTCCTTAGAATATTTTTAACAGCAAAGTGTTTATCTGTCTCCTTTCTTGAAGTTTGAAATCCTTGGCTGTGAGATTTCTGAAGTTGTTTATTTTATTTCCAGGCTTCTTTGAATTTGTGTGCTGGATCGAACAACTTCGTGAATCCTGCTCAATCAAATGGCCGAAACGGTCAATCTTGGCCAAGTGGATTATCCGAACAGGAGTTGACTAACTTGTACGCTTTGAATGCCTTATACAACAACAATAACCTGATGGAAAGCAACCGTACATTACAAATGCTGCTCTCGAACCTCGTCCAGAGAAATTTAGCCACGAACATCACAGCAGCCAGCTTATTTGGGCAGAATCCTCTTAACTCTTTCAATTTTGAAAGAAATGCTCCATCAAATTATAGAAATCACCCACAAAGTGAGTACTCCTTCTTGTTTTATCCAAAATGTACCGATTTAATTAACGATTTCTCAAAATGAGGCCATTTTTTTTTGAGTTTGTGATTCTTCAAAGAAAAAAAAACCTTGAATTCATGCCTTCATTTTTTTTTCTTCCGTTTTTTAATTTCAATTCCTTCAGTACCCTAGAATGCTTGAAAGTTGCTCAGATGTACTTGTAAGTCTTCAGAACTTGAAAGGGTTGCCGTTTAAAAGAGGATTGTATGAGAAATTGCGGAAGTGTTAAGGAAACATTGTTTAATCGCTTTTAATTACTTTTCTTAATGTGTTCTAAACAACAAATGTTAAATGCCTGGGTTAGGAATAGCGATTTTTATTTCTTTTAACTATACCTCTTATCAGCAAATGTTCATTTTCCAAGTCATGCGGCCACTGATTTGACATCATTTTAACTAGTTCGTTTAAAATCGCTCGGAAGAATGGTTTTTTTTCTTTGTGTCAGAATCTTCCACAATGTCAATCTCTGCCGATCAGTTTCTGTGCCTATATGTCTATTATGCATTTGTCTGTACCTGCATCCATAACAGGATTATAGAGTTGTGCTCAGTCCATATTATTCACTACTTTCTGTCAGAACCGCTTTGAGAAGAGACCGAAACGCAATATGACATCTTCACAGAGTTGAAAATTTTTTTTAATATTTAAGTCATGCAGTGTTGTTGTGCGCAGGTGTAGTTTTGGTCGTATCATTTCTGTGCATAAGTTTTAAGTTTTTTGTACATTTATCCTGGCTGTCAGCACATAATTAGTGTTTTTGACTTGTTGTTCAAAACTGATCTTGCTTTTTATCAACTTTTTAGGCCCACCAGCTCATGATCCCGGATATCTCTCATGGTCTGGAAAGTTGCCACAAAGAACAAGAGAAATTCGTGAATATTCTACTAAGGTACGGCTCATGATATCTCCGTTATATTTCAAGTAATGAGCACTTAACATTTTGATTCAGACATTGGACTCTAAAATGAAATTCTTACAACTGTGATTTTTTTTTATTCAACATCTCTCCTTAAGATCTTGTGGTCCATAGGGGACAGAAAATTGTAATATTGCCAAAAATGTCAGAGCATTTTCTGGGATTGAAAGCTCTGTATAGAGAATCAGGAAAAACCTGAAAATCGGTGGATCATTATTTTTTTCTACCAGATTCCGAAAACTTTTTGTACATGTCTAGTTGAAAAAATGGTTTTGTGGAAATTCAAAAAAATCCTTGTTGAATCTATTTCTGCATTGTTACTCAAGTTGCAGTGACCGCTGTAAATTTTAATTTATATGAAAGATTATTGAGGTTTTTTTCATGGAAATTCATTGTTATGCATCAGCACCAATTAATGCATTAAATTGCAACTCTATCAGAATAAATTTTGTGTAAAACTACGATAGTTGGTGAAAAACTTGCTATTTTACTGACGGAAAAAAACAAGCAGTTCCATGGCGTGAAGTTCGGGGGAAAGTGCTGAAATATGATAATCTTTGGGACTTATTAGGGAAAGAAGCGATCATAATGCACCTGTGTGCAATCAAATTACTTATCAATTTCCTGTAAAAAAATGCAATTTGTTTGTCAACATCATCTCAGTTTTCAATCTAACTTTCAATGGATCTGCTCCAGAAGAGTCTGTGTCCTACTGAAGTTTATCCTCATTAAATTTCATTCTAAACCTTGATGCTTTCTTTGATCTACAGGTTTTTGTCGGCGGTATTCCATGGGAGGCACCAGAACAATACCTGATCAGTGCTTTCCAACAGTTTGGCAGAGTCCAAGTTGAGTGGCCGATGAGTGACAAGAAAGGAAGGGGCTTTTGCTACATCATTTTTGAGACAGAGAAACAGGTATTTTTATTTTATTCCCACTTATTTTTACATCATAGAAACATTGTGCAGTGAAATACAAGCTTAACAGTACTAAGCTCTGAAGGTCAAGAAAAATTTACAACAATTTCTTGCTATTTAGGTTATCGTGAAGTATGATACATAATCCGTGCTCTGCTCTCTAACAGAATATTGATGGTGAAACTCCCAAACCGTTTATCTTGTTTGAGGTGTGAAAAATGTCTACTCGTATTCATTTTTTTCTTTGAAGGAGAACGAATCCACATCATTCCCTGAAGTTTTCACAGTATTTTCTTTTCAGATTCATGGAAAATGACAGGAATTCTTAAAAATTGCTGTTGAATTCTCATCTAACAAATAATGTCAGGACGTTTTTAATTTCACCAACGGAGATACATTGTGTGGGAGTTTCATTGTCGATATTTTAGTTGTATCTGCCTACCTATCTGTGAAATCTTCTCCTTGTAAGAGTCAATGATTACTCATCTCTACAACTGAGCCAAAACTGAGGAACTCCATCCCAGATTTTAGAATATATTTTAGACTGGATGCCTCATTATAAGAAAGCTCGATCAAGTATTCCTTTTATTCTTTCAGAATGCATACTTCATTCTCGTTTAGTTTGAATCCAAAAATAACAAATTATGCAGGTAATATCTGTTCCAGCATAATATGTCCTGAGATAATCTTGCTTTATCTAGAGTGGAGGAGGGGGGGGGGTTGCTTAGCAATACATAGGGTACAAGCCCTTAAAAGCTCCTGAGTCAAATATTTCTTTAGTTCTAAAGTCCTTTAATGAGAGTAGAAAGGTTGTTACTAACGTCTATAAAAGAATTAGATTATTTGCATTGCTAAATGCCCAAGACAAGCGAGCCCTACAAGCGTGAAAAAAGTTAATGGTGGTTTGTATCTGTGAAGTAATGTGAGAATTGCAAAATTTCGGACACAGAATCATGTCAAAAACCACAAAGCTGCCAACAAGCTGTTTTCTTGTATGTAGTTCTTATAAAAAGGAGTGAAATCTATCCACTACCCTTCAGTCCTAAACCACTGTTGTAGCGGTTAAAATTTAGGAAAGAATTGCTTTTCCAGCAACTCTTCTCTTTTCAACTTCCCATCAACAGCCTCTGAAAAATAAAATGAACTAAACCATTGTTGTTTTTTTTCCAGGTCAAAGCTCTTCTTGAACACACGCACAACCCGAAAAATGATACTTACTTCTTTGAACTACCTGGAAGACGCTTCAAGTCTAACAAACCGGTAATTCAGGTCTCTTTCAATTGTCTTATCATTCTATCTCTCATGAAACTTACTCCTCATATTAAATTCCAGTGTATTCCAATCATTAAGAATAGACTTTTGAATGATGTTCTAGTGCGAGTTATTCAGCATGCATCAAGTGTAATTTACCGAAAAACATCTTCTGAAAATTAATTAATTCCCAGAAAGATCACTGGTCGAGAAAGAAAAATGACTGAAAATAGGCATTCGATTTTACTTCCTCTGTATATTTTTCATAACGTCATTCTTAATTTTTTCTTACTTTTCTTTTTTCCAGGCTCAAATCATTCCATGGCCAATTTGTGATAGTAACTACGTTAGGAAACGGACTGAGAAATTGGACCCGCACAAAACTGTCTTTGCCGGAGGTTTGCATGGAGTCATTAACGCTGAGTGCCTTTGCAATATTATGCAGGATACTTTTGACGGAGTTTTATATGCTGGTAAGAGTTCAGTTTTTGCATTCCTTGGGATATGAGACACAACAGGGACATATAAAGTATTCTGAGATGCCAACTCAGCCTTAAGAAGGAAACCATTTCAGACACTAAAATCTACAGTTATAATTTTGTAGATTATGGGCAAACAACATCTCGCTAATCTCTTTCGGAAGCTTGGAAAAAACTTAGGTGCACTAAAATTTTGACTGTTATTGGTCCCTTTCCAGTAGTGATGCACATCTTCCAATTTGTGTTTCAACCGCATCAAGGCACCAAACTTCAATTGCATACCTGCGACTTCTACTTAAGGCAAAAAGCCTGTTCACTCTTAGAACCACCCAACATTCTCAACAACAGACTCATTAAACTCAGTACAAATATTAGTATGTATTTTTCTAGCACCAGGAATTCTTGCTAATAGTGCTTAAAAATTGATGTTCATTTTATGAAAGTGCACTGAAAGTCCATCTTAAACTCTCTTCTCTACATTCCCCTACGCATCATATTCCTATGTGTATGATATTGTGCTCTGTGAATTTTAAGAAATTTTTGGTTAACGAATATCCCTTTTTTATTCCAGGAATCGACACAGACAAGTACAAGTATCCTCAAGGCTCGGCAAGGATTGTGTTTGAAGACCCAATTTCTTACATGAGAGCTGTCTCAGCAGGTTTTATCAACATCGAAGTTCAAATCAGCCCTGTTGATGAAAAAGTCAAGATTACTCAGAGAGTATGTTTTTGTTTTCTGTTCATTGATTACTTGCCTATAGCAGTATGAGTGTGCGTTTTCAATTTCAGCAAAAGAATCATCAGTTTTAAGTCCTCCAAACTTAATGAAGTTCGGTTATCCAACAAACAAGATGAGAAATTCAGAGTATAGCTTTTTGTCAGGAGTACCAACTTTTTGGCAACCCCCACGAGAATGATGGATCTGTGATCCATGACACACTAAGAGTTCTAAGTTTTTTTAACTTATTTTTATTACAGTGTAAGCCTGAATTCCAATTGTGAGCCTCTCTAAGGTTTGCCACGCTAATTTCCAATCATTACACACGCTGCATATCTACTATGCGTCTCAAACGTTAGGGTCCGCAGAATGACAGATAAAACTTTGACACTGGAAAGCTGAATATTTATCATCTCAACCTTTGCGTAAAAAACTTTTTTTCTAGAAAAATTTGCTATCAGAATCACTTGAAATGTCAAGTACAGGGTGTCTAGCATCAGGAAAAACCGGAAAATATCAGGAATTCTGGCCGATCAGGAAAATCGGAGAATCGGACGTTTTATCAGGAATTTTTCTTACGCAAATCTCCTCAGCGGAGAAAGTCTTACTGCTATTTGCCTACCGTGTCAGGAGTCGAAAAAAATCAGGAAAATATCAGGAATTTTTTTATAAAATATTAGGAAAAATCAGGAAAATATCGGGATTTTTCCAAATAAAAAAATACCAGACACCCTGCAAGAGCCAAGTTGTAATTTCATTCATTTAAAATCAAGAATTCATTAAATCATTTATGGTTACAATCTTACTTAGACAGTCCGTAACCTCTACATCAGTATACTTGTAAGTATTTTCTAAGAAAATAATGAAATTCCAGTTTTATCTCCGTGTTGATATAGTTCTGCAGAATAATCTGTGGGGAGGTCCCAATCATGATGGGTTGTGCTGAATAATGGCACATTTTGATCCTTTGTTTGTCAGGCTCTAAATTTAACATCTTTGATGGTTTTTTCTTTCAGCTACAACTGAAGCCCTACTTGGAGGACAGCCCATGCAGCAAATGCCACGTTCAGCGTGGTCCATACTTCTGTAAGGACCAGGCATGCTTCCGTTATTTCTGTCATAGCTGCTGGCAGTCAAGACATTCATCAAGCATGTTTGCCCATCATACTCCGCTGTCCCGCAGCTCAAAGAACTCTCGTCAGGGAGGATCGAACTCGTTCAACAATAACCTCACTTTACAATGATCGAAAGGTAAGCCTGTGCTCTACTCTAGTATTGATTTTCATTTTTTACGGTTCAAAATCGGATAGTAATATATCTGGCTCCCATCCTAAGTAACAGGAATATCTGCAGGTCTGGTGAACGGGGGATTTGTAGGGAATTACCACCAGGTTAGGAGATGAGAATGGTGGTTTTAGGATCAAAATTTAATGTTACAATTGGTTTTTTTTTTTTTTTTTTTTTTTTTTTTTTAAACATTTCCGCTACCCGAGGCAGAGATTTTATTCCATAACTTTATACTTCACTCATACGTATTTCTCAAATTAGTATGTGTCCATTCACCCCATAATATTGGTTCCTCTCAATTTCACAAGGGGAGGCCACCGATTGTCCACCTCAGATTGGGTTCAAATTTGGCAGAGAGGTAGAATAGGTTAATACAAGAACCCGTATTTTTTTTTAGGTGCCAATGCCCAGCCGTTTTTGAGTTATGAATTTTTGAAGTTGCCGTTTTTTCGTGTCAGCGACGCGCTCAATTTGAGCCTACTGTGCGCGCACCTTTTAATGCGATCCGAATGTCGTAGTGGTCATGCGAGACAGTTGTCCGGGCGGTAGCGCGCTCGCCTGTGGTGCTGCAGGCTCGGAGTTCGATACTTGTTCCGTAAATTTAATTTTTAAAATTGATTATTTTGTTTTTTAATCGCTTCATCACAAGAAATTGTAAGTCACCTTGTAGACGTTGTGATGCTAATTATGTTTTTTTCCTTTATTGTCAAACACTCATTAAAAAAAAAATAAAAAATAAAATATACATAAAAAATAATTAGAATCATAACGTCTACAAGGTGACTTACAATTTCTTGTGATGAAGCGATTAAAAAACAAAATAATCAATTTTAAAAATTAAACTTACGAAGCAAGTATCGAACTCCGAGCCTGCAGCACCGCAGGCGAGCGCGCTACCGCTTGGACAACAGTCTCGCATGACCACTACGATATTCGGATCGCATTAAAAGGTGCGCGCACAGTAGGCTCAAATTGAGCGCGTCGCTGACACGAAGAAACGGCAACTTCAAAAATTCATAACTCAAAAACGGCTGGGCATTGGCACCTAAAAAAAAATACGGGTTCTTATATTAACCTATTCTACCTCTCTGCCAAATTTGAACCCGATCTGAGGTGGACAATCGGTAGCCTCCCCTTGTCAAATTAGTGTAAATATTCCAATCGGTCTAATCAATTCCATCATCTGATCTGCTGTCCAATGTTAACTGATCGTGTTTGTTTTCTTTTCAGATCCCCTGTTGTGGTAGTAAAACCGTACCACGTACCTCTTTGAAGAGTTCTCCTCTTCATAACAATTGATCCTCATTAATTTTATTAGTTGCTTTGTTTCTATCTCTTATATATTTTCAGTATTTTTTATACAAATTCATGAATTAATTATTTCTTGATCTTTCTCTTTTTTTCTGTTAAAATGAATGTTATATCTAACGTTAATTTATTATTTTTGACGTTGATAAATTGGACTCAAAATTTAATATTTTGTCGCAGACATATTAACAAATGTTGGTATTGTAGTGTATAATTGGAGATGTGATTTTTACGAATCCCCTAATTTTATCTGTAAGTCTCTCTCTTTCCCTCATTTTATTATTTTTATTTCTTCCTTGCTTTTATTTTACTTTTTTATTTTTGTTTTTATTTGTTGTTTGATCCAGTGAGCCAAAATATATGGTGTATTAGGGTTAAGGGGTAGCGTTTCAGGAATTCATTCTTGGGTCAAAATAGATCCCAACACCATTTTACAAACACCTCAAGACGGAGAAACATCAATCTCTCCCCCTTCCATCATAATTGTTGAGAACATCTGAGGTGCACATTTTGATGATCTTTCAAATGGCTAAATTGGTTTTTAGGTTCAGTGAAGCAGATAATTCTTTCCAACGAAGCACTCCCAAAAAAGTGGACGAAACATAAGTGCCCAATTTAAATTTCGAGGAAAAGGGCTGTAGTTCTGAGGAGAAACTTTCGTTGGGAAGAACTGAACCTCAAAAATAGTCTCATTACAACCCAATGAAATTGATTGCTAAAGTATTACCCTTTAACCCCATCTCGCCTTGTCTATCTTTTACTATGAACGAAGCAGCATCTGCGCAGATGCACTGTTTTTGGCAATCAAACTATGGCTGTCCAGCATAACGTTTTATTATTTGAAAATTTAAAGCGCTGAATTTAGGTTGACCAAAACTCTTGAACTCTACTAGTTTTAGTTTTCCAATTTCCTTTCGTATCCTCCTCACGATTTCCTTTCTATTATTTTACCTCTCCAAGTAACCAAGAGATGAAATCACTGAATGGACTTAATTGCACAATTTGCGCTCATTCCGATTGTTTTTTTTTTTTTTTTTTTTTTTTTTTTTTTTTTTTTTTTGAGTTTTTTACTATTTTCAACACGGAAACTGTTTCCTGTAACAACTTTTTCATCTCCGAATGCAAATCTCGGCTAGCTGCCCCCTCTTGACAAAAACTCGGAATTGAAAAGAATAAGCGCATACTAAAATTGTCCGCTGAGTTCATCTTTTAGGGTAAATCGCCTAAGTGCTCTTAAGTATTTCCTTTGAATTACCTTATGTAAGAATGTTTTAGTTTTTGTTTTGTTTTTCTTTCTTTTTAAATTTTGAATTAACCTTTGTGTCTCAATTGTTGTCAGTGTATCACATTCTGCTTATAAATTTGTTCTTTTCCGCAGTTTTTGAACTGTAAGTTGGTCGTTAATGGGTGTTATATTTTGGTGGTGGGAATTGCAAATTCTTGTTTTGCATTTCAGAAGTATTATTTTTTGTTATTGATTCTCAATTTCTGAGAAGAGGAATTTTTTTGAGTTTTGATATCCATACGTTTCTATTGCGTTGTTAAAATGGTCGTAAAAAAAACCTCATTTCACGTATTATTGTATCAGTTCAGAAAATTAACTTAAACATTTTCCTTTATTTTTCTTGTATAACAGTGAATCAAGTGTCTTCAGCTTTTTGAATCAAATTTTTAAATTTACCCTTTCTTTCTGAATCATGCAGAATTTTTGCCTTAGTTATCAAATGGAATGAGTAGTCTCCCTTCGTTTTTCTTTTTTTAACCTTCTAAAGAAAAAAAAAAACTGACAGTAAATGAAGAAAAAAAATATATATATATATAAAAAGAAGAAAAAAGCCAAAAAAAAACAAAAAAAATATAAAAAGAAGAAAAAAGCCAAAAAAAAAAAAAAAACATCATGATTCCAAAACTGTTCTGCATTATTATTGTACAAAATTAATCTGTAATTTTTTAAACTTCGCTTAACTTATCAGCTCACATGAATTTTCAGTTTTAATCGAATAAGTTTTAATATTACCCTTCTGTCTGCTATCCTACTTTGTTTTAACAATTGGGATTAATTGCAAAAGGGGAATGAATAACTGAAATTTCTATTTTAATTTAATCCAAAGCTTTATGTGCTTGGCTGAACCGAATCTCTTGTTTTCTTTTTATGCTATCTGCATTACGTATAAATTATTTGAAACTCATTTTATACGCAAATTTTAATTTGACTTGAACGTCAGCCGTATTATAATTTATTACCCTTTGAAAAATTACACCCGCATTGTTTTTATCACATTTTAATAGTGTTTTAACCATTGAGTTTCTCATATGTTTTTGCACCTCATTGAGTGTAAATATTGCCATGAAAGTGTCTTTAAGTCTCTCTTAGAACGAAGCTCTATTTCGTTAATCGCATGAATTTCAAATTTTACATTATTATCAAATCGCGCCGAAACTATATGCTCCAACATGAACAGTTTTCAATATAAATCTTGATCAATCCTTTGCTTTACAAGCTAAGGAGAAATTACTAAGTCTCTACATCTAAGATTTGGATCTATTCTTTTTCATCGGATATGAATCTTTGAAATTAGTCCATCAGACATCATAAAATGTTCATCAACGTCCATAGAAACATAATTTGTAACTTTCAGCTTTCGGAGGGAGCTATTTTCAAAAAGCGATTTCTGATTTTTCAAAGGGTAAGAAAATTTGGTGAATCAAACACAATAATTTTTTTAGTATTTTAAAAGTTTTATTGAATTTTCCTAATAATTAAATTAAATGGCTGATGAATGAAATCCTTAGCCACCCAAAATCTAACCTGATTTGATGGAGCATGATTGTGTCATAAGTTGTTACGCCTCCGGCTTGACTTGTATTAATGAAACTCTGCTGAGCATTGATAAAATCTTCAGTACCTTTTTCGAACCAGAGGCTATTACTATCTCCGAAAGATGTTTTACTACAATTTTACTCCAGTTCAATTAATTATTTTTTATCACTCCAATTATATTTTATAACATGTACATTTATTTATCATTTCTTATCAATAATCACTCAGAATTTTGTGCAGTACTTCCTGTTAAGAACCACAATGATTTATTTTATCTGAAATTTGTCTCTGAAAAAGTTATTCTAATTAGTCTTACATTTTACAATTTCAACTGATCTGATGCTCATTCATCCTCAAGGAAGGGATTCTCTGATCATCTTTCGGTGTGACTTGGTCACCAACATTATTCAAGAATAATACTTTAGAAGAACCGTTTGTCAAACCCTATGTTGTCCATTGCCTTGTTTTCTCACTGTTAACATAATGATACCATTTCCGATCAGGTTCTATGTATTTCAGAATTATTCCCCCTGGTCGCTCGCAAAGTCACTATCACCGAAAATGGCCAGTAGCTCTGCATTTAATATGATTGTTCAAAATTAATTTATCAGTTTTAATTACAGTCTTGCAGTTAGTATGTCAATAAAGAAAAAAAATACGACCAAACATGTTGTTTTCTATTTTGCTTTTTTCTTATCTCAAGTTCATCCTAGTTCATCAAAGATTGAATAACCTCTAAAATTATCAATATCATTCACACTAGTTCTCCTGGTTTTTAAACATGAGAGGGCAGAAGAGGAAAGCAGCATGAGTGACAAACCTGCACTCTGAGAAAATGATTCTCAAAGTCTTAAAATTGTTGTTATGGTTGAGCTTCCGTTCTAAAGAAATAGTCCTCTATCTTGCTGGAAAATGAAGAAATGGACTTGGAATTTTGTGCCGCATTACTTGAAGATCCTGATTGCAAAAGCAGTTCTTTAGGAAAACTACTCAGAACTGTTTTTACATATTCGTACTCAAATGTATTTAAAATATCATTCGATCACCTCTAATTTTAAATGAAAATTTTTCCTCTCTCATAGAGTCCTCATGTGAGTCTTTTCGGTTCAAAGTTTTATTTAACTGTTCACCTTGACACAGTTTTACTATTGGTCAAGTTTATTTCAGAAGGAATGGGCTGGAAACAATAATTTTTTGGACTGAAATAGGTAATTCATGAGCTTTGCAGTGCTGCTCAGACTGTGTCTTCGTGCATCATTTACACCTGAATTTTTTCCTTTTAAATTCTTTCCTGTAGTATTTTCCTGCAAATTAAAGTAATCAGTTTGTGCATCTAATGGGATAGCCAGAAATTACAGTGATAGCCAAAGTGCGAAACTACATGTCTCTTTTGCGGTGATCTTCGCTTGCACCTCGCTTTTCACGGAGAGGCATGCCAACACCATAGCTTGAAATAATGCACAGAATATCCCTCTACTGGAGTAGAAAGTGCGAGGAAGTTCTCAAGAAAATAAGGTTACTAGTTTTCCAAAGAAGAAATTAAGTATAAAAGAAAGTCGGCAGTGTTGTGAACGGAGGTACGTGGTTTCGCACGTTGGCCACCGACATATCGACGGTGAAACTACCAAACCAAGTATCTCGTTTGCGGTGTTTAAAAATCTACGCTCGCATTTTATTTCTTTGAAGTCGACCAAATCAATATCATTCCTTGAAATTTTCACAGAATTTTCTCCGCACAAAGAGGAAAAATCACAGAAATTTTCAAGACTAGACGTTAAGTAGTTTTTCATTTAAAAAATAATGTATGACAGGAAGTCTGCGACGTCGCAAACCGAGATACGTGGTTTGGTAGTTTCACCGTCGATGTACTAGTGCACAATCTGAAGACCATTTCAAAAAATCCCTACAGGAAACTGCAGGAATGCGTATCTAGTTTGCAGTGTTTCAAGATTTCCGCTCCCAGTTAATTTTATCTGAAGGGAGCAAACCCTCATTATTCATAGGAATTTACCAGAAACAAAGAGACCCTCCATGGCCTCTTGGCGACAGGTGGAAGCTTCCACCGTCAGGGATTCTACAATTCCCTATGGGAAGGGAGCAACAGGCATCATTTTTATTTTGGCTGTTGACCTACCTACACGGTGGATGATTAACTTTGGGTGACGTTAGAAGCCAAACAAGTTTCTCCAACTTCGGCTTGTTAGCAAAACAAAACTGCCAACTCGTCCTTAACCATCAACTATGTAGGTAGGTCAACAGTAAAATGCTGAAGTCCTGAAAGTTAAAGTTTCCACCATTGCCAAGATAGTAGTGGAGGGTCTTTTGTCTGGAATATTCAGGGTATTCTTCACACAGAGACGGAATAACTAGGAAGTTTTCAAGAAACGACACTTAGTATTTTTACCATCTTGAAAAAACTGATAGGAAGTCAGCATTGTCACAAACCAAAATACACATTCCTGAAGTTTTATCGTGGATCTGTCTTTTTTTCTACGAAGAAGGGCTCAATCATCAATGAGGACTCCGTTCAGAATGGGTCATTGCTTTCCACTGATCGTGTGCCCCTAAACCTTTCTCACAGTGGATGAAATAACTTCAGAACAGTAATTAAATAATTGGAAAAAAAACAGTGTATTATTATTTGGAAGACATCAGGCTAACAGCTGCAGCTGGAAAATTTACATTACAAACAAAGGAAAGTACAGGAGTTCTAGTTCACATTAACATTTCATCCCAATCATTAGAGATTTTCTTACAATCTAAGTTCTCAATTAAAGATATGATCCAGTGGATGGATCCAAGGACCGCCTTGTAGGAGTCCCTACCGCAGGACTAATTTATTTTATTAGTCAAGTTATTTTCATTTATCAAAAGCTCAAAAGAGCTCTATGAGTAAGAGCTAGTCTGGAATTCAGTTTGGTACAATGGCAGGTAATGGAATACATCCTAAGTTCATAGACATCCTCATCCTAGTTTTCCTTGGCTCTGTACTCTTAAGCTCTTCACTTCGGTAATGTAAAGGGCCGTTCATGAATAATTACATAATTGTCACTCTAAGAGAGGGAGGGGTGGTTGAAAAGAGCGTTTTGCCAGTTTGATTGTAAGTATTAAAGGATAAGAAACTTTGCCACGAAAGTGTCTAATGGGGGAATGAAAAATCTGAAATTAAGTGTTTAAATTTTATTAACGGCTCCCAATTAATATTATTAGTTGTTAGCAGGTAAATTACATGCCTGAATCAGCAGTACAAAAACTCATGAGTGAACTAATTATTATGAAGTGCCCAACTTCAGAAAATAGAAATTCCTTTGTACTGTGGAGCAGTAGTTTTCAAACTCTCATGTATTTGTCTTTCTTTTCTGCATGGAATAAAAAGGCATCAACTTCATTAGTTTGAAAAGAGCCCATTTCAAGGTTTTTGACGATCATATTGTGCTGTTAAAGGGCCGAAAAATGTCGTATTTTTTCTTCCGGGCCTCATCCCAGGAACCAAATGATATGCTCCAAAAACATTTTCTATTCATAAATTAGCAGTTTTAGATTTGATGGCAAACTGACCAAGACTGCTGGTGTGTAAACTTGGACAGAAAAAGCTATATGACCCTCTTTTCAGACTTTTTAAAGTAAGTATCATTCACCAAAATTTGTTAATAATTGCATGTTTTCTTGGTGCTACGATATCATGTATATGTAGATACATTGATACGCAACATGTTAATTAGACCAGCATTCTAGATAATTACTCAGAGGAGGTCTCTTCATTTTATCATTGAAGCGTGGTGCTCATAAAAGCTTAATAAGCAGGACAATACACCGAAAGCACCTATTTGCCACTCTTTTAGACGCCCAGCCCACAGAAAGCCATTGGGAAAATAATGAATCGCTCTGATTAGGTCTGCAAGATTCTGAAGAGCAGAAATAATAGCTAAAAATTGTAAGTTTGACAACTTGACATACTCCTTGTATCTTGGACTTTTCCTTGTAATTTCTGAACCGTATAATTTGAAGGTAGACTTCTGCGCATGCAAACTTTTCGCTTGACTAAGGGATCGGCTCATAGAGAAGTATGATGATAGTGCCCACAAGATGGAGCTGGCTGTCCAGTAATCGATGTTTTTTCTTGCTGTCAAAAGGCCTATGTCTTCAGCCCATGCCAGATGTTCGAGGGGATAGTACAGTTGATCGCAGATGTTAGAAAATACAGTGAGGATTCTAATTTTGATGTCTGGAATGTCCTGAAAAATAACGAGACAGATAAGAATTTGAAACATAAAATGTCACTGTTTCTAGAATTCTGCCTTTTAAGATAAGCCAATTGCAGCCAACACATGCAAATTAAAAATATAAATATTAGGTACTTGGAATGCATTGAACAATGAGCTAGAAAGTTTTATTACGGATACTTTCAAGAATAGGAAAAATTATTCTCAACTTGAAAATCAAAATTCTGATTTGAAAACTCAGGCACTAGTGAAATGCGAATTACAATTAATGGTATGATTAGAGGATGTTCTGAAAATAAGAGTCTGAGGATCACATATTGATGGCTAAAGTGCAAAGCCTACTATAACAGTTTGTGACGTTGAAGACTTCCTGTCATACCTTATTTTTTCTTTTTAAAACTAGTCAATAATTTTCTGGAGACTTCCTTAGTTTCTTTTCTATCTGCTAGTGGAAATTTCTGTAAAAATTACAAAAAATAAAATAGAGGCGGAAAGTTTGAAACACCTCAATGGAAATACATGGTTTTGCACTTCGTCCGTCATTATAATTCCTCACACAATATTTTGCTTCATAGAGATGAAGTTCATTTTCCGAAAGTTAACTCATCACACCAAAATCAGAAATCATGGCAGAAAGCTGACAAATCCTTTATCTCTATTTTACTTCGGGCTTATCTTGTCCAACTCACGATCAGCCTGCTGTCCCCACAGAGGAGACGTCCCCTCTGCAATGCATGAAGAGCGAAAAAAAGTATCTTACCTCTTTCCCAAATCCATACAGTAAATTATAGCGGAGCATTGACAAGTCATCGAACAACCGAAGGACAACTCTACAGGAACCTAGTTGATCACTGAAAGTTAGTAATTTTCCGGAGATTTGCTTTGCACAACAACCTGATAGAAATCGTGCTAAATGTTCGCAGAATCGAATGGCTTGATAACGACCATGATATGTGTCCAAATACTCTACAGTTTGATCCATTTTAACAAGACCGTTATCTACTAGACAATTAAATCTTGTAGGAAACGATTGGAGTTTATTCGTCCAAAGAGAGCTTTTTGGTGAGTCTACAACGATTGAATAAGAAGAAAATATTCCTCACAGACTAAGTTCTATTTTTCACATGCAGAAATTTACTTGACTAATTCACTGAAATAATTAAATCATATTTATTTAATTCAACAAGTATCACTTATCGCTTATGTTTATAACCTCAATTCAGACTTGTCCTTGACGCGTTTGTTTACATTTGTGATTCAAGATTTCACCAACAGATCGCTGCACTTGTTGCGTGTCGAAATTTAGTAATGACGTCATCGATCCATGAGTCACCAGCAGCGGTTTTCCTGTGACGTGTGTGTGCGTCTGGTCTGGTCTGGTCTCTCTTATCAGTTCAGTTCGTGAGTGTTCGTGAGTTGCAAAGCGTGTGCGAATTGACTTATCACAGTGATCCGTTGCATACGAGTTGAAACAACAGAGATAAGGTAATGACATCGATTTAATTTTAATTTTCGACAATATCTATCGTGAAACTACACGATTTTTTTCTGCCTCCCATCCGCTACCTCCAGAAATTGGTGCATTGTCGTTTTGTTTACTCGCGTCTTTTTCAAGCATGGTGCTTGCTTGCGTTTCGGTGATAATATTGTGAATTGTGATTGTCGCCCTCACTACTGAAGTTTTCTCGAGCAGTCACATTTGAATCCGTTGTTACAGCCCTAGTAGACCGTTTTCTAAGATTCAATCAACTCTTTTCAGTGTTATGTTGTGCCTCAGTGAAACCAAAATTGGATACACACACTACCATAAGTAGCAGACCCGGAATAGCGTTGTGTGGGTAAGTGATAGCATGGAATTATTTTATTTTCGTGGGAGTATCGTAGTCCAGTGAAATATTGGTTTAGTAGTAGCCATAGATTATTGAACAAGTTTATGATTAGAGTGAGACATCAAATCGCATCTCCTTGCGGAGCAAAGTTGTGCCTCTGGACTGGCTAAGACAGGCTTTTATTCCTTCAATGAATAAGATCAAACAAAACAAGTCCACATCCTTGTCCTGGTGGTAAGAGCAGCTTGGAAAAAAGAGTCCCACTGTGAAAGGAACAAAATTCCTGGAAGTTTCATTTTGTATAACCATGTATGTTAGTAGATCACCGATCTCCATTAGCTCTTCATCTGCTGCAACCGTACACTCATTAACATATTTTACCAACATCATTTAGATACCGTATTATTTTTTGTAAGTAAGAATTTAACACTGATAAAAATGACCAGCAGAACAGCATCAAAATATCATTTGAACAGTTAAGTAAAGCATTAACTGATCTTAGTTGATGTCTGTTGAGAATGTAGAGAATTTAACCGCTTAGCTGGCACTTCAACACTATCCTAGTCATCATTGTAAAGCGATAGTGTCCTTTCCCATAGTCAAAGTTGTTTTAAAGGAGAAAAAGTTGTGTAAAGGAGGTACAGTGTAGATCGTCAGTAGAGGCGCGGAGGCTGAAACTTCAGGAGGCGCAAAATTTGGAGAAACAAGATGGGGGGTAGGTCTGGGGAGTCTCCTTCCAGCCGAGGAGGTCATGGGAGTCCTTCCTAAAACACCGTATTTCGACAAAAATCCAAAAGTCTTCTCCCATGCTGTCTTGTTTACAGGGGCTGCCCAAATTGCGGGTACTTTACGTAGAATTTTAAAATTAGGATATTCTCTGAATAAAACAGTCAATCCAGATTGACATGTTCGAGATAACTCAGTACTAATGGGTGCAATTCAACAGTTCATCTGAAAAATGAAATAAAATAAGAGAGGAAAGAAAGTTGAAGTTATCACATTAAGATTCCATAATTTGGAAGAAAATTGAATGTCTTAGCAAAAATATATTTTCGTAAATTCATGCAAAAAAATACTCGTTTTATATCCTACGATCGGATCGCCGATCTCTCATGATCCTCTTATTTTTTGCGAGAGTTGGAACAAAGCAGCAACGGTGCCATCGAAAGTAATGAATTTGCAGTAATTAATTCAGATCGGGCGGGGAGGGGGGGGGGCGTTTCGAATCGAAGTAAAACGAGGTGAAAAAAAGCTATGTTGCCGAGTTTTTATAGCGTGGGGCTACCTCTCCTCATCCGTTCATCCAATAGTTTAAATAGGATGGTTTTTTGTTTCTTTTCGCCGGCTTTGTCGAGAACCAGCACGCCGGAAGCGGAAATCAAGGGAATCTAGGGAACATCACTTGACAGGAAAACTAGCAGGATGAGGAATGGTAGAAAACGTAGAATCGTGTAAGTGTAAAATCCGCGAAAATCACGAAATTAGCTCGTCACGATGCTATATCCGCTCTGCGAAGCTGCGACAATCAAATCGTAAATGAAACGCACGAATGAGGCGGTGAATCAGCAGCACGAAGCGTAATTTTGCCATATTATTAAGTAGGACGTATAGGTACCCTTAAGCCGTTGTGAAGTTAACACCCTGCTAAAAACGACCATGGAACATGCTCAGATCATTTCGTCACCAACATGCCCCTAGTAGCAGAACAAATTTTTGTTTTTCTAAAAAAAAGTATTAAAAAAAATATATCTGTTATCTAAATGGTAGTTTTATATAAAAAAACGTATAACGCTTACCTATATAAAAAAAATCAAAGTTCAGAATTTACCATGAAATATGAAAAATGATAAAAGCTAGATAAGGTAATTTTTTTTATTTATCGCATGCATACGAAAGTGTTAAAAGTGAACATTTTTATGTAACCATTTTATAAAAAAAGTCATCATTTTCGTGAGCTTTTCGCGAATTACAAGATTTTTTAGTATGTTTGCAAAAAGCTCATGAAAATTATGACTTTTTTTATATAATGGTTACAAAAAAATGTTCACTTATAACACTTTTGTATGCATGCGTTATATAAAAAAAATTATCTTTCGTACATAGTCTTTATCTTTTCCTTCTATATGGATCTGCTACTAGGGAGGTAATATGGTTTCAGTTTGGTCTCAACATTTTCTCATGTGGGTACATTGACCCTACAAGTATATTTGAAGGGCTCAGAGGACAAGGCGCACGAGTGCATTTTTGGAAAAAAAATTGAGATATTAATTAATATCTCAATTTTTACTTAGTACCTAAAGCGAGTCTTATTACCCAGGGCCGGATTAAGTGGGTGGCCACATGGGCCGCGGCCCATGACGGAAAATTTAGGGGGATGCAAATTTTGCAATTTGTTTAAATGTAGGTGGGCATTAAAAAAAAATCGGATTCAGAGAAAAAATTACAAACGAGAAAAGGCGATAAAATCTCTCATTTCTTAAGAGTATAGTAATTCCTAATTTTGTCGTCTTTCGGTGATACAAATGGACTGCGCCTTTAATTAGTCGAGTTAAGAGAGAAACCTAACACGCAATTTGGCATGGAGCGGCGCGGCACAGAGAGCAATGATGACGAGGACTTGAGATGAAAAGGAGAAGCTCTCAGCGCGGTGGTCGGCATGTAACACATAATAGCACCTACAAGACTGCATGAATACTTCACGCATTGCGTCAAACACAGTGCGATCAGCAGCGGTCGACATGAAACGCGTAGCGCCTACAAGGCTGTAGGAATACTTCCGGCATTGCGCCAAATACAGTGCGTTCGCGGTGGCGGAAGTTAAAATTATTAAATCACATTTATGTTTGTTCTTGCACAACTTTTACGTTCATTTCTAACAAAGGGAAGGCCTTGTTCACACAGAGATAGGTTTACGGAACTTAACTTTCGCGGTAAGTTCCGTGAAAGAGGGTTATTCATATAGGCGAAAAATGTACCCAGCCCGGAATGTACGAAACTTTGTGAGCTGATAGTACTAGTTGAGAGAGGCTTATCCCTAGCTCCGTTTTTGCAGGAACCCCAGGGAATCAGCGTTGCCATTTTTTAAAGTCGTAACCTTCAAACACCCATAACTTTCGCAGAAATGCAGTTACAGAGCTCGTAATTACACCAAAAGATGCAAAAAATTACGTTCTATCGATCAATGCCAAAGAAATTTTAATTTGACTCCATTGTTGCCACGTTTTGGCCATTTTTTTAATTTTCGTAATTATTTAAAATCACGTTACCGCCTGAAAAAGTGTTTGCGGTTGGTGGGGATTGAATAAAAACCTGTCGGAATTATTGTTCGTTCGATTCCGCATCCATCGATATATTATACTTTTCTGAGAGACTTAGGGAACACGAGTTGTAGCGATTTGAAAATTCGGCAACACGCCCTATACCCCGATATTGACGCTCGTTTAGGTACGTTTCGCAACTCCGTGTTAAAGCAAAACGCCTAGAACAAACAAAATTCGAAAAGTCAGTTCATGTTTTGCGCTTTTTTGAAACTTTCACATGATTTTTAGGAATTCAAGTAGCGGCGGTGTTGCCGGTTTTCAATGAAAACCACCGCTGCCATCACAATTTAAAGTAGTACTCATTTAATCTTATCCAGCTACATTTGCTAACCTAAACTGACCATTTGCGACATGGTGTTGACAACATTGCCTAATTTCCGTCGGAATTCGCGTAGAGGCGGGGTTGCCAGTTTTCATGGAAACCGCCACCGCAATCACAAAAAAAATGTATTACTTATTTAATCACGTTCAGCCTTATTCTGTAGTTGGAATTGTTTATTTATCGGATCGATGGTTTCTGCTATCCCTCTGCAACGGCAGTGGGGACCGACAGTAACGAGATATCGAAATTTAAAGCTACCGAATCACTCAAGCGGTCCGATGAGTAGTTTTGGCGAGGGGCCTAGATCCATTGCTCTTGATCTGTATACAATATCGATATCTCGGTACTGTCGGTCACCACTGCCGTTGCAGAGGGATAGAAGAAACCATCGATCCGATAAATAAACAATTCCAACTACAGAATAAGGCTGAACGTGATTAAATAAGTAATACATTTTTTTTGTGATTGCGGTGGCGGTTTCCATGAAAACTGGCAACCCCGCCTCTACGCGAATTCCGACGGAAATTAGGCAATGTTGTCAACACCATGTCGCAAATGGTCAGTTTAGGTTAGCAAATGTAGCTGGATAAGATTAAATGAGTACTACTTTAAATTGTGATGGCAGCGGTGGTTTTCATTGAAAACCGGCAACACCGCCGCTACTTGAATTCCTAAAAATCATGTGAAAGTTTCAAAAAAGCGCAAAACATGAACTGACTTTTCGAATTTTGTTTGTTCTAGGCGTTTTGCTTTAACACGGAGTTGCGAAACGTACCTAAACGAGCGTCAATATCGGGGTATAGGGCGTGTTGCCGAATTTTCAAATCGCTACAACTCGTGTTCCCTAAGTCTCTCAGAAAAGTATAATATATCGATGGATGCGGAATCGAACGAACAATAATTCCGACAGGTTTTTATTCAATCCCCACCAACCGCAAACACTTTTTCAGGCGGTAACGTGATTTTAAATAATTACGAAAATTAAAAAAATGGCCAAAACGTGGCAACAATGGAGTCAAATTAAAATTTCTTTGGCATTGATCGATAGAACGTAATTTTTTGCATCTTTTGGTGTAATTACGAGCTCTGTAACTGCATTTCTGCGAAAGTTATGGGTGTTTGAAGGTTACGACTTTAAAAAATGGCAACGCTGATTCCCTGGGGTTCCTGCAAAAACGGAGCTAGGGATAAGCCTCTCTCAACTAGTACTATCAGCTCACAAAGTTTCGTACATTCCGGGCTGGGTACATTTTTCGCCTATATGAATAACCCTCTTTTGCTAGTACTAGTAGTGTTGACAGGGCTTTCGCAAAAAATGTGTCCAACACGAGTATAAACGCGTCTTATGCACCCCTCCCCCTCCGGCA